AAAAACTAGGAAAAAAGATGTTTTACTTTGCTTTTCTGCATGTACTTTCCATACATTCTGATGCAGATTTATTTTCGCTCTGTAGACAAATGTAAACACACTGTAAAGGAGTTAATTATACACTGGGTTTTAATTTTGCTTATTTCGCTGACTGGAAAATGCGCTAAATTAAAACTCAGTGAATATGTAAAATTTAGCATAGAACACATTACCTAGATGATAAAACTGTGAATTTAAAACCCAATGAATATGCCTGAAATGGTAAATCAGCGGAATTTAAACCCAGTGAAAATTAGTCATTTTACAGTAGTAAATTGAATTGAATAAGATACAATCAAATATGGTAGTTGGATAAATAATACAGAGTGGGGGAATAAAAAATGTGGATATACTGATGTCCAATCTCCTGATCAGGATTTGAGTAAGTGATACTCATTGCAATCAGCACATTGGTGAACAACTGCCAATCAGAAAGTGATTCTTTCAAAGAAGACAGTATTAATTAATCATCACTCACTCACTATATAAGGCAAGGTTAGCTGATATGCTATATATATATATATATATATATATATATATATATATATATATATATATATATACTAGTATATATCTGTGCGAGTGCGTTAGTAGTGTAGTGAGAAATGCTTCATCTGAGAAAATTATATATAGGATAAAAATATGAAAACATTGTTTTCTATCATTATCCATGTGAAGCCCTTGGATTAAGTTAAAACGTTAAATTAAAACGTTAAGTTAAAACTTCTGCTATCACTATAACTGTTATGTAATCAAATGATATCCATGGTGACATGAAGGAATATTTATCCAGTGTATAATAAATATATTCATTCATTGTATATTCTTGTTTAAATTTACAAATATTTTATGATTACTGATTAATTCTACTATTGATTCCAATATTGAATTCAAACACAGCATTCAATAAAAGCTGATATCTGATATGATAATTTTATTTATCATTTTAATTTTTTAATTACCTGTACAAATATTTTTTACCAGGGTGCATGGATCATCTTAGTTTATGTAATAAGACTGTATATTTAAATCTACTGTGAGTACATCTAGAGAAATTTTTTATTGTGCTAATGCAAAAATAGGTAGGCATGCTTGGAATTAGTGACTAGTATTCAATAGTTTTATCTAACTGATATTATGATTGTATGATCTCCAGATACAAAACTAATAAAAGAACAAACAAAAACGTTATTTGTGTTGATTCTATTAAGTGTATACACAATATGCATTTACCGGTAATATCAAATACAATGTGGATGACAACATATGCTAATTTGTTTAACCTGCATCAGACAAAATGTATTGATAATATAACATTGAGTTTAGAATTAATGCTTTAATGACATAAAAGTAATTGTCATATTCTATTTATACATGACAATGTGAGGGAGCCAGTGCTAGTCTTCTGAGGTCACCACTGCCGACAGCTAATACACTTAAATATATTAAACTTTGAGTCACATGAACATGAACGTTTATAAATACACAACACAACATTTCTTACTCAGTTGACCAATTCACATTCTAACTCTTCACTTCTAACAACGAACTTGTTTCCTTTGTGGGTGTCATAAAACATAATTATCTTTTATTGGCCTGACCAAAACATGGCTGAATTCAACTTCCAACTGTTCTCAGTATAATTTACCATCCTATAATTTAATTACATGTAACCGTGACAATTAAAATGGTGGAGTTGTTGCACTTTACACTCACAAATCCTTGTCTTTTACCTGCATTGTCACATTCAAAATTATGCACTGTGAATCGAACCCACATAAATAACAAAAAGATGATCATAGGCGTTAAGTACCGTACATCTCATATGAATATTTTGACAGTTGAATATGTCTACACCAGTTGTCAGCCAAGGGTACTGATTCTATTATACTTGGCGACATGAACATTGACACTTCTGTTGATTCCCCACCTGCCGCTCACCGTGATACTATCTCCAATTCGTATATAGTATTGGAATCTAAATTTTCCTTCATTGCTATTATCTGCAGTTAGAGCTGCGCAAGCTTTCAAGAGGTAGCCCACATTGACATACTAACATTATAATATTGCAATTTTTATGAAATATTTGCACATAATTTGGTAACAATAATTTAATATGTTTTGTACTCAAATGCATTGAAACTAATGCAAGCATTTCAAACACGTTTTCTCACAGCTGTTTTTATGGCAATCTCATCAATTGCTATGTCAAGTTCAATTTTGAGCAAGTGCTATATACAAGGTAAGAACTAGATGTTAGTAATATGCTTTCCAAGATCTGTCAATCAAATGGGCAAGGTTGTGATAGTTATGCTATTTTTCTAACTTGGAATGAGTGTGATCTATGGTGACACTGGTGTATATCACTCACCATAAATATTTTCTACTATTTGTTTATCATTGGTATACTTTCAGCATCACACACAGACACATTATCTGTATCTTTTCTTCCTCAAAATCACATGATTAATCAATCAGGCATGTTAAAATATAACATGAATAGAATTACAGCAATTCCAGGCACTGATTTGACGCTGAAGTAGTGCTAGATGTTGATAACTTACTACAATAGGTTACACACTTTGTTTTCAAATTTACAGAAGTTGTAATATCGTTCTGAATATATGTAGACAATGTACAGATTATAGCGCCCTCATACGACAGCCAGAAGTGTTTAGAATAAAAGGGAACCCAGTAGCTGCCTTGTGATTCTTCCTTAATAATTTTAGCAATATTGCCATGTATCGATCTATAAATAGCATTTGGATTGTTTACAGACTATACAATTTTCTTACATAAGTACTGGATTAGTTGTTTTCATAGATTCGTTTACATTCAGCATATATCATTGGTTGATTTCTGACAGTTTGTGCCGTTTTTAATATAAATATCCATTGCACTGTAAGGGTTTCCATTGAGATTTTATACAATGGTCAGGGTGAGAAATGACTTACTGTAAATTTACCATTTTTTACCTTTCTGTTGTGAAGCTTGAAAAGCCTATTTGCAGACGACACAACAATCAATTGGTCAAATTCGTTTATGAATGTTTCTCAAACACCATACAAATATGATTACATCTCAGGGTTATGAATGAACTTGATCGAAATGAAAGAAAACCTGACATGAATAATCAGTATTAATATTATGTGTATCATAAATTTTGAAGTTACCAATTTTATATTGACTGCACGAATACCACTAGACTGTACGAACAAATGCACAGACTATGAGAAAACAATGGCGCGACATAATTTCTTTTCTAACTTTCTAAAATGAAGATATTAATATACTGAATATCTGCAACAATAGTTGGATTTCAATTTGTTTATTTGGAAAAAAAGAAGAAGAAAATGTTATTAAATAATGAAAAAAGGTTTGTTCATATTTCATGTTTAGAGAATACAATTGTGGTCAAGTTCAAAAAAATAGGTCAGGTGACCGTGGGAACTCGCCTTTAATTCATATATAAACTGGCTCAAACCCTCCGTAAATAAATAAACATACGATATATTTTCTAACGGGGATAGCGGTATTTCCTTTTTAGCTTGAATAATGCTGTGACATTCACAGAACACCGTTTAATACCACTAGGTACAGCTGACTATTTTAATGATCAATTGATACACAGCATCCACTGGAATGTACAGTTTTAATATTACTCAAAATATTCACAATGTAATGTAAAACACATTGAAATAGCTACATGCCATTTAGCGAATTTGACTCAATACATAAAATATAGCAAAATCTTAATTTAGCTAAAATGATAATAATCTCATTGTGAGAATATATACTTTATTCTAAATTAGCGACATCGTGAATTAGTGAAATTACAGATTAGCTAAATTAGCTAAAAATGACATGCTAGCTAAAAAGACGTGTTAACAGTCATTAATGAAAACGTCGCATACATTGTGTACAATTCATCATGTTGACCATCTATATCACGCCATCAACATACGTCTAGAACTGATGCTAAGCTGCAAGACATCCAGCCCAATCAAATAACAACGTATATTTTTATCAACGCAGAGCCCGAAATTAACAAATATTCTGAAATCAATTTCAAGACTCGTGTCAGCAGTAGTAGTCACATACAGCAAGTTTTAGTACGTCTTTATGGGCTTTCTGTGTAAAGGTTACTAATATCAAGAAATTGGGTATTACATTTCAAGTGTAAGTACCGGTACATTTATTACATTCTTCTCCATATATGGGCATTCATGGCAAGGAAAGTGTACGTGTGATCGTCTTCTTATCCCCGGGAGTGCCCCCCCCCCCGAATTGGAATTTGGCACGCATGCTGCAACACAAATACGGTTAATATGGATGGTTTTCAAACAGATAGTCAAGTCTAAGCACATATTAAAATCGATAAAAAGGATAATTTTTCTAACATGAAAAGATAACCGCAACAATGCTTATTTTTCAATATGCATGTGTTAATGTTAATCTACCTGGCGAACCAACCGGCGAATCTCCGGGGTGAATCTGCATCTCATCCTAGGTGACGTTCAGAATTACGATGATTTCCCTTCCAAATAGGGTTTGCTATTTATGTTTCGTATTTGGAATGGATAGTTTTTTCTTTTCCAAATGTATGTACGTATTTAGAGGCGTGTTTGAACATGGGCGTGTTATCACACTAGTAATAACATTCTAGAGATTGAATGCACTTGGTGGAAATAAACATCCAATCCAATCTTTCTGTCGTATACTCTAAATTCTTGTGGCAATATCAACTTTTTTATTATAATATAAACCATTCTGTCTATCACACACACATTGTACAGTACTATAAATATATTGAGGCCAACGAATTGTGTGTATTTCCGACATTTGAAAAGTGGTATCAACGAGGAACCAAAGACACAAACACAATGGTAACAAATGTAATACATA